ACTGAATTATATAATATAATTGATATTGAAGCAATTAAAGATAATGTTTATATAATTCCAAGATTTGATAAAATTAAATGGTAAATCGCAGCTAAGGGGTATAAAATGATTGATATTTATAGTAATATACGGAAAGCATCTACTATTAAAATTTATTATCAGTTGGAATCCTAAAAGATTCTTAGTACAAAATATCACAGAATAGAAAATACATAATACGACTTATAAACAAAAAACAAATAGACTCAAATCTTCATTATGGCATTTTTGCCCGAGACTGGTAGAATAAAGATATAAAAATTGCAAATAATAGCACTTTAAATCTTCCTTTTCATCTTCATATGAGCATGATAACTAGAATAAATGATTTTGATTTTGTTTTATCTGTTGTTAACAAACCTTCAAACCCACTACAACCTGGCTTTTTATGTTCTGTAAGTGAAAAATTTAGTGATATACAACCTTCGGCAGCCATCAATTCAGTATATCAAGAAGTTATTGGAAGTCGAACTAAAACCAAGCATTCAGGACTAGCAGTTTTGGGGTTTTAAAATGAAGAAATTGTTTCGGAAATGATTAGTGACATACCATTTTTTCCATTATATGTAGAGGTTGACAAATATTCTATATTAATCTCAAAAGTCAGATATTCTTCTCAAGAAGATCTTTCATATGCCGGACCTGGTTACATATTTTCTTTAATAACATGTCATAGATCAGAGGCATACCTTATCTTGTAGCAAATTTTAAAAGATCATCAATGTAGTCTGCAGGTTTTTAAAGGGAAGAATGAATTGCATCAGTATGTTGGTAAAACACCAGCTATCATGTGAAAAAAATACGGATTGCACCAAAATAAGGATCATTATGCACTTTTTGGGTTAAAAGACCCGCAAATTCAAGCATTATTGGCAAATAGTAAAGGAAATGTGGTACTTACAACATGTACATCACTTCACTGGAATGATGAATTAATTTTGCAGCAAATTTTTAACTTGTATATTAAACACAAAAAAATTTTAATGCCTAATCTCGATTGGCAAAACCTTTTTACTAAATGGATTATACAAAAAAGCTCAATAGTTTGGGTATTACATATTTTAAGCAGCATATACCCACCTGATCATACATTCAGCACAAAGAACTGTTAGCTTGGTATGCTATGTTTCGAGCATGTAAATGTACAAACATTACACCATACCCCAAGGAAGAATCTAATGTTGAGTTTTGGACATGTGCTATAAATCCTGAAGCAGATCGACAAACTCTCAAAAATTTATATAAACATGAATTATTGCAAACGCAAGATTTTCATACACTAATACTGATTGTCAATTTTGGGCTATTTTTTGTCAAGCATTATATACTAACATGAGGGGAGCTAAAGAAAAAATTAGAGTACTTTCGGTTATTGTGCTTGATTTTAGTTACCAGGATCTTCAAAACGAATTAGGAGTAAGGCACTAAAATGTCTGCTTTGAAATTTATTATTAATATAATATATACCATTTATTAATAAATATAGATAACGTTTAAGACTATATGTAAAGCTAAAAAGCATGCACGTCTCTATAGTTCCGGTTTTCTACCAATCAAAAAACCAAAAAAAAAAATTCAAATAATGGCCAAATTCAAAGAAAAGCAGTTCGAATTATTTTTTTTAGACAAAAATAACATAACATTGAATTTCTATAAGATAGATCCAAAAACCAATTTACTCATTCTTTATCTCTCTAATAACAAAACTGGGCTTTGAAAAAAGTTTCAACAAACATTTTCAAATGGGATGAAAAAGACTTCTTTCATGAATCGAATTGCTGATTGCACGCATCTAAAGTATCGAGACAATTTGGGTAGTCTGTGTAGCATCTGTAACGAATATGGGTTTGGCTCATTTGAAAGTTTGATAGGAATCGTGCGAAATACATTTTTCAACAAAATAGAATTGGTATCAAAAATTTTTCACATTTTTTTATGTATTAGTTTACTATTATTTTTATTTTTTTATCGCGATTTTTTTTTTTTACTATAAATTTTTTGTAAAAAATTTTATTGCAATTTTTTTAATAAATATTATTAGGATGAAATGCTCTCACAAATTGAATATTTGTGGTACTATCTTAAAATGAGATTTTGAATGAGAACTAGTAATATTATCTGATAGAACAATATTACACGATCTCTGCATTGATCATTGCCTACCATATGCTTTTGAGGAATGTTCGGCCTCATATATTTCAAAATGTTCCAAGTGTGAATAGTTTTATAAGTTTTTTGATCAACTAAAAAACCGCATAGCTAACAAATACAAGATGCAATTGCACATAATTAAAGAAAGACTAAAACATTATCTAGATTACCAAGCAAGAAAAGTATATCTTAACACTCAATTTAAGTCAACGCTAGCTCAATTGGATTCTGATGACACTTTGATTGTTGCTGACTATAAGATGAGGATTCTTCCTAAGTCTGCCTACGAAACTAAAAAAAAGTTTTTTGGCAAAAGAGGTTGGACCTTGCATACAATTCTAATTTTTAGGAAAATAGATAATTGTGATAAATTAGATATTAAAGCATTTGATCACTAGTCCACCAACACAAAACAAGACGCTTGGTTCACCGCCTCTTCGTTCGAAGCAGTATTAGAGCAAAAACCCAAATGGATAACAATAGTTTCTAATAATGGTGCACATTATCACTATTCAGAACTAATGGCTGTCGTTGCTCATTGGCATACTTGGTATTCAATTAAAGTCAATCGATGGTTGTTCTTGGAGCCAGAGGAGGCTAAAACCACTATCGACTCTCATCATGCCAATGTGAAATCTATTTTTTTTTTAATGTTCATATTCTCAAGTTGATCAAATGCCAACACCTTAATGTTCTTTAATATTACGTCAAATTGGCCATAGTATTAAATGATATGTCTGAATTGAGTTTGATACAGCTAAGGGTGAGGATATAGTAAAAGCAGCAGAGGGACTTTCTGGAATGTCGTTAGCACAAATCACTATAAATCGTGACGACAGAAATAGTGAATCAGAGATTGAAGATACTGAGATCAATAAAAAAAAAAAGGGCAGAAATTCAAATAAAAAAAAAAACTGAAAATTAAAACAATAGCAAGAATATCAAAATTTTACTGTTGGGAGTGGCCAACAGAAGGATCTTTTACAGATTTATTCGTGCAAGAGAGCTTCCACCTGCGGGCCCGTAAGAAAACGTTTCTCTAGCCGAAATCGCAAAGTTAACTAGTACATTTATTGTTCGCCCAAAACTGATAATTTCGGCACATACAAAACCAACATCTAATTGGACCATTCCAATCCCAACGATTCAAGGTATGTATCATGTAAATAATCTGTTAAAAAGAAGAAATGTTATAGTTTGACAAATTTTAGTTCTTACAAATAACAAAATGATCGAGATGGAAGGTAAATTGTAATTTTATAACCCTATTATAAGAAATTATTAAGACATTTCTTATAAAATAGATGTTATCAATTTTAATAATGGAGATGATGATCGAGGTTCTGAAATGGATATTGAAGGTGAGACTTAGTACTCTAGTGTTTCTTATAGGCTTTTTAATGACTTTCTTGTAAAAAACAGACGTTCCCAATCTTAACGAGGATAATTATCAAGAAAGTTTCGAAATGGACGTTGAAGGTATTGGACTAGCCAAAACACAACTTTTTATTGTGAGCAAATAAACAAGTAATACTTACTGTAAATTATTTGTTTAGAAATTGTGGCTGAAAAGAATGAACAGACGATATTTAGTTTTCAGAAACCTATTGAAATGGGCAATTATAATGAAATTGGAGTTGAAATGAATGAGCAAAGGGTTTTCCTAGAATATTCTAAGGCAGAAAATATTAATGAAATGGATGTTGGAATGGAAATTAAAACGAATAAACAAGAGGCATTCATTTATTGCCAAAAATCTGCTGAGATAGATAGTTCTAGGGATGGGTTTGTAGAATTGTTAACATGATTTGCTTCAGAATTATCTTGTGTTTAATTAACATGAAATTTTTTAAAAGCATTGAAGAAGGATTCCAAATGCCTAAAGGTTAGGCTTTCCCAGCAAACGCTAAATTTGGTAAAAAGGGCGGAGACAAAAAGATTAAAAAAAAGGTTGTTAATTTGTTAAAACAATTCTTTCTAAACAGAAATGTAAAAGCCAAAGACAAGTTAACAGCCCAGAAAATGCATTTGGAGCTTAAGAAGTTTGTACAATCTAGAGAAATTAGTGACGAAGACATTCCTCAAGTATCTACAATTCACAACTGGATTGGAAGGTATTCAAGAGAATTTAATCAACAGGAAACTGCTATCGCACTTGAAACTTTCAGTGACTCTTCGAATAGTGAATATTAGTATTTCGTCTTATTCTAAATTTCAGATACCATATTTCAATTTACTTTGTGTTTAAACCAGATCGATGAATATAATCAGCATTGCGAACCAAACATATAATAATAGGATGATATTGGTGTTGAAGAGGATAAGATAAATCCGGTAGGATGGAGGTTCTAATATTTGTTTTAAGTTGACTGCTAACAAATTGAAATTTGTGTTGAAGAATAAACACAATTGTATTTATTTGTTATTAATAATTTGAAATAGAGTGTGTAAATGAAACATAGATATATTATGAAATCAGATTATGATTATGAATTTTTTAAATCATATAAATAAATGGAAGTGTTTTAGATTTCAACTATGGGTCAGTATAGTATAGATATAAGGTACAATGGTATAGGACAGATTTTAAACTCATACTACACTAATCCTATAATTATAGTATGACATTAATATTGCCACCCATATCATAAGTGCTGCCAAAAAAAAACCTGTCATCGGGCTTCTAATTATTTTGTACTAGACATAATCTCTAACAAATTAAACTAATTTTGTCTGGTACAAAAAAAAATTAAAAGCCCAATGACAGGTTTTTTCTTGACCACTCATTAATTTGCCATAATCTTTCTCTTAATATATGTTACCAAAATTTATGAACTTCTAAATAAAGTGACTTCTCTAAATAAACATGATTGACAACTTGATCTATTATCAAAAAAAGCATTTATAGAGATCAAATGTTTATAAAGCGTTATTATACAATAAATGTCAAGTTAATTTATTCAGAATTTACTAATATGTAACATTAATTCACGATAAACTTCAAGATTATATATCTATTTTCATAGAGTACCCAGAGCATAATTTATTATTATTATTATTATTATTTAATAAGACCAATATATTGTAAATTCTCAAAATAGCAGGCATCTGCGACTACATACGCGTTATTTCGAATACCTATTTCAAAATAAAGTATCAATTCAGAAACTCTCCTGGTCTGTACCTAATTTATACACCATTTGCTCGATATATTGTCAATACTTATTTATCCAAAGTACGCACTATTTCTGGGCATATATAGACGTTATCTTGAAACTAACTATGCTATTTTTAAGGGGTACAATTTTTGAAATAATGATCATGCCTGCTATTTCAATAATTTATAGTAATAAAGGCAGCACATTAAAGTATTATGATAAAGTAAAAATGGGTTATTTGCGATGAGCAAGACCACAAAACTCTGAATTTAAACAATAAAAGATCAAAATGAGAAGTAAAATTATAAAGATAAGAGTCAAACCTTTGATAATTAGAAAAAGGCTACTAAGTTGAAATTGTATTCGTTTTTTCAAAACATATACTGTGTAGAGACCAAAAAAGTGAATTACCTAATTCTTGCTTGGATACAATATTTATAAAATAATTCTATATTATAGTGTAATATGCTCTTAAATTTACTAAAAATAACTTTACCTCAGTTTATTATGCAGTAAATATATTGAATTTCTGTTTAGTGAGAATTCTTTTGCTTTAGTTTTCGTAGTACATTACTAAAAAATTCGCAAATTCTACAAAAAAACTTGCAAAAAGATCTGAACAGAATCTGTATCTTAAAAAAAAAAATTTCAAGAACAAATACTCTGCATTTACAATAGCAGCTTAGAAATTTAAAAAAAACCTACTTCAATTAATAGAGACCTCATGTTTTTACCAAGATATTTTGTATAGAGAGTGAGGTACTTTGGTCAGTGCAATACGGTGACTTGATTTTATAGTCAACTTTTGGTAATTAAAATTTCAAGTTTAGATTAGCTCGTAGACTTCCTTCGATCAAGTTTGGCTATGGCACTAAATAATATTTAGCATTCTTGTGAGTCTAGTTGAATAAACCAAAGAAGAAAAAGTGCATTTTCTTAAGTGTATTAACATCACAATTATTAAAAGATTCAAAATATTCTAACCCGAATCTGCGTGTCTTACTAAGTAAAGTTTTTAGTTTAAGCGATAGGTAAAAATTTTATTTAAGCCACTATTATTATTGATCGTGTTCTGTCAAATTTGAAGATTAAATCTGTTTTTCTTAAATATTAGTATTAGTTCAATATAAGGTTAAAATAATGGTTCGTGTATTTGATATAATTGATCGCTGCTATACAAGCATATAAAATTTATACCCTTTAGAAGCAATCTACCCCTTAATGATTATTTAGTAAATAAATATATATTTTAATTTAGAAATATAATAATTATTTAAAATAATAAATAAATATAT